TAATAATAATAATAATAATAATAATAATAATAATAATAATAATAATACTTTATTTGCGGTCAAAGACCAAAACACAAGTACAACAAAAGAAGAACATGGAAAAATAATCATGAACAATTGGTCACCAAAAACTTGACTAAGGAGAATTACAGTGTTCTCCTCTGATGGTTACAGCTCTTAAAAATATAATAATAATAATAATAATAATAATAATAATAATAATAATAATAATAATAATAATAATAATAGTAAAGAAGCATAGTGAAAAAATGGGAATAAAATTAAATGTAAAAAAGATAAACTAATGGTAACAGATAGAACAAACCAGCCTTAGAATTGGCAATGAAGATATCAAAGGATAGAGTGCTTGTGCCTTTTATGATCAACCCCCAAGACTAAAGGAAAAAGCAATCAACAAATACTCTGCAGACTAGACCTTGGTAGAACAGCCATGAAGGCCTTCCAAAAGATATTCACACTGTTGTGATGTGGCTATACATAAAAAGCATTTTAACATATTGCACCTCTGTATGGTTTGCCAATTGCATAGTGGCATATAGGAAAGCACTCCTAAAGTTAATGTAATTGCCCAGAAGATCATTGGTTGCCCTCTCCCCTCTTTGGAAGAGCTTTATAGCTCCCTCTGCCTTAGGAGAGCTCAAAACATTCTCAAAGATCCATCTCATCCTAGGAACCCTTTTTTTGAACTATTGCCATCTGGCAGACGGTACAGAATAATAAAAACAAGCACAAAGGGGCTGAAAAACAGCTTCTATACCAGGGCAGTAGCTCTTTTGCATTCTGCTATATAGATGGTGCAGTGTTGGGGTGTTTTGGTTCAATGTGTGGAGTGTGAAGGATGTGTGTTTGTGTTTATTTTCATGGTCATGATGTGCACTGAAGATGGTGTTTGATATCATTGTACGAGGTGCAATGACAATAAAATAAACTAAAAAGATCAGAACTGTGAAAGTTATAATATTCCCTATGACATCCATGGAAGTGAAACTTGGAATGTAAGGATAGAAAGAGTATTGATGTTTTTGAATTTTGGCATTGGAGAAGTCTCCTGATGATGCCACAGACAGAAAACAAACCAATAGATTATCCCCCTCCCTTGAAAATCAACCCATAGTTCTCACACAAAGCACAACTGACCAGGCTAAAATTATCCTACTTTGGACACTTTATGCAAAGATCTGGCTTTCTAGGAAAGCTCTAATGTTGGAAAAGATAGAAGGAAAATGAAGAAGAGGACAACCAGCAGCAAAAGAGAGCCACTGGTCTTACTGGTTAAGGTAACCGGCTAGAAAGCAGGATACTATGAGTTCAAGTTCCACCTTGGCCATGAAACTAAACCAGGTGACCTTAGGCCATTCACTCTCTCTCAGCCCAATGCAACTTACAGGGTTGTTGCTGTTGTGAGGAAAATACCGTTATTATAAATCATAATAAGAATAAATGGTATTACTGTTTATCCTTTTTAATGTCTTTACTTAGCTCTTTTATGGTGTTATTATTACTGTTCTCTCTGTTGCTTTGCAAGTACATTGAGTGCTTCTGTACTGGAAAACAAATTGCTTGTGTGTGTAATCACACTTGGACAACTAAAGTATTACATTCAATTCAATAGAAGGAAGGTATGTAGAATACATTCACTGTGTGAAGTTATTTGTAAAAATAATAAAGGCAGGATATAGATAAATAAAGTGGATAGAATCAATTATTCTGGCAATGAATGCACCATGAAAAGATCTGAAGGACTAGGCTAGGGAAAATTGACCCAGAGAAAATCTATCTATGTAGTTGTTAGGTTGTGTGAATCTAAATATCACTCGAGGTGATAAATCTTCAGCTACTTACCTATACTGTTCCTGTCAAGAGCAGTACAGAAACCTGTCTTGGAAACTTGACTTAGGATCCTTCAAATACTTTTTGAAGAAAAGCAATAGTGGAAGAGTGGCA